TGCCTCGGTGAGGTAGAGATATCTTTCCTACTGACTGTCACTTGGAATTTGGTGTCTAGTCCCTTTATTTTTCTAAGTCCCATCGCAGCTTTCTTTAGCTTTGAAACATTTCACATCCTGACTTCTGGATCACTAATTTGGGTTGATCCCTCCCATTGTGTTTCCAGTGGAAGAATCTTCCACACGGTAGGGTGGAAGGGGAAGCAGTCTGGAGAGGATAGGGTTTTTCTTCCCCTTTGCAGAGCAGATATATTAGCCTCCCTGAGTTTAGCATGACTGCATGATTTGTGGAGGAGGAGGTGTTTGTGGCAGGGAGGCATGCTGAAAAGCTGCACCGCTTCCTGAAAAATCTGCAACATTAACCATCCTTTTGTGAGTAAACTATAAATCGTGAGTTTAGATGGCATCTGATAGAAAGTCAGTGGAGTCAGTCTGGGTCAGGCCTGGCATAGCAATTTTTAAGATAGATGTCATAAGATAATTTATTAAAAGAGGGAAGAGCTACTTTGTTGGCCTGAAAAGCCTATAATTATTGACTATCAATATTCTTTTCTGTCAGCATCACACATAATTGGATATATTCATGATTCAGTCAAAACTACTGACAACATCACACAACTGAGTCAGACTCGTAAACCTCCAGGAATAATGGGGAAGTCCCTCATTGTGTGCAATCTGTGCGCTTCAGCATTCCTGAGAGATCAGCTATCTTGCCAAGTCAATTGCCTCTTAGATCTTAGGTGCTTTTTATTTCTTCTTTAAATAAAAGTTGCACTGACCCTTCAGGGAAAATATCAATAAAAGAAAAAAGCGTCATTGTCTGTGTTTAGGATTAACATGCAGTTAAGCTCCAGCATCTTTTCAGAATAGTCCAGTAGAGCCCAAATGGGTATTTTTAAATGGTTCTTCCACTGAGAGACTCAGTGTCACTCCAAGCAGATCATTTACCCTCTATTCTTCTTTTTCCTTCTCTAAAATCAGGGCAGCAGTGCTTAGATTTGTTTTCGTGAAAGACTTTGAGACCCTGGAAAGCAAACTGTCACATACTAAGTTTCCTCTGTCTCCATAATTCTTCCTTTTTGGCAACCCTTTAGCAAACCTTCAGTGTTATACCATGTTTGGGTGATGCTTTCAAAAGCAGTTGATCTGGTGCTTGACATGAGTGTCTGTCCCCTTCATAGACAGGGAAATTGGGGCACTAAGAGGAGAACTGAGCTCATCCTAAAACTCCACAGTCAAGCTTAAGAAACCGGGTGCCTAAAACACTGCTGTCGCTCGCTAGGACATGCCTTTTCTTGAGGTAGATATGCAGGAGTGATGTGTGCACACGTATTTTTCACGTCAGTGATTTCTGGTCCTGTGCTGCACGGGACGTCTTTCTGTGAATTAAATTAAATATTTTATATCTACTAGACTGGGATTTTTTTAAAGTCCTGATTTAAAAAAATGTGACAGTAATCAGTTCCTCTGTGCACACTGTCCCTGTATAAGCTTTGATCTGTATGAATCTATCAGTTGTTAATGTCTCATAAGCGAACTATTTCATAGTCCAGCCTGTTGCCCAGTTACTTGTTGCAGTGCTAGCCCCACACAGCTACCTCTGTTCCTGACTTGATCATGACAGCGTTAGACCAGGGCAGTTGCTTGCATTACGAGTAACAAAGACTTGATTGTGCAGAGAAGCCCTTGTGTAAGGGTGAGTGTGTGCTGTGCCTGAAGAGCCATTCTGAAATAGTCTTGTGAGCTAAAAATCCCCTCAAGGGAATGTTCCTGCATAAGCAAACAAAAGGGAGTGCAGAGGTGACAGAGTGGAAAGGTGATTCTGGGCAAATGCTTGTGAATCCTTTTGCCTGCTATTTGTCAAGCTCTAAAAATAGCAGCAGCTTGGATAAAACATTTCAGACTTGGGTAGGCAGCATGGTAGTGTACACCAAAAGCCGTTGGTTTGGAATCCCCTGCCCTTAGACGCTAGGGTTTAAAGCCACCTTTTCAGAGCTTTTCAGTATTCTGTTGAATTTTATATGTCAGGTCCTTGAATGTAAGTCAGTCATGAAAAGCTGCAAGTTCCTAGCCCAGTGTGGAAAGCGGAAGGGGATCCTATATCTGGAGGTGCAGTACAGCTTGCAGAAATATCTTGGTGGACCAGAAGCTGAGACCGGTGCAGCACTGCATCACCTTGGACAGGCCCCATCTCTTCTCTGCACGGGTCTTTTTCTTGTCTCCTCCTTCACCTGTTTTTACATGCTCCATTTGTAAGTTATTCAGGGTAAGCCTGTCCGACTATGGGTATGGCTAGCAGAGTGGGATTTTGATAGCCTTTAGGGCCCTAGATACCACAGAGCAAGGACAAAGTGATAGCAGATGGATGCTTGAGAAGGTCTGATGCTCTGACGCTTCTGCTGCCTGCAGTGGGCTCTTTGGGCACAAATTCCAGAAGGTGATTAAGATGCCAGCTGAACGGAAGGCTGAAAACGAGTTCTTGTTTCTCTGTCTCTGACTTTTCAGGGTTGTCTGTCTGGGAGTCTGATTAGGTACTCGCACACAATTAATGGATGCTGTATGTCCTCTTTCTAGCTGTGATAAAAAAGGATTTGCTTGCTCTTTAGTTCATTGTATCATCTGATTATTCTTCTGTCCATGTTATAAGAAAGGGGGAGGGAGGGGAGGAGGAATTGCCAGCTACAACTAGTGACTCATTAGCTATCAGCCAGGAGGAAAGGCAGTGCTTTGCATTTCAGGGACCGGTATGTTTCTGTTCACGCAGCAACATTTCCTTTTCATTAATAGTTACTAATGTGCTGCCTGCTTATTTCCTGCACTATTCAGGTATCATGTCCATAGCAAGCTGGTGAGCTTCATGGCACCTATTGACCACTGTACAATGAATGATGATGCCAGGTGAGTAATAGATTAATTATGTTTCTCAAATGGCTTCATGACAGCATGATATTGACCTGTTCTTCAGTCTGTCGCCCCCTCCATTTCTTCTTATCAGTTAACCATTTGTCACTGGCATCATAGCCTGGGTGTCTTGGTCACATCTGTCCAGGCAGTCTGGCTGAGCTTTCACTCCGTAATTACTGTGACACCAAACAAGAAATTTTCATAAATCTCAGTACCTACATTTTGATTCCTGCTTTAAAACTCCTCCGATTTTGAAATCTTCTAGTTTTATGGAATTATTTTGGAAATAGACAACTAAGTTATCTGGTGTCTTCAGGTGTAATCAAAACTTAGAAGGAACTTGTCCTTTAACAGAAATGGCAACTGTTTTAAATTCTGTTTAGTATGCATTTTCTTAAATCAGTTAATAACTGGAATAGTTCAGTCAAGATTCACTCAAGGCCTAAATGTTGCTTGTGTTTATGTCTATTTAAAGAGTGAAGAATTTTATTGGAAGACTATAATGTTTTAATGTGCTAATTAGTAAAGAAAATATAAATGAAATTTTGTGTGTAGTTACTACATAGTTTTTCTACATATACATTCATATTTCTTAGCTATTACATTTTTAAACTAAATCTTGAAATGCTGAGCTTTTTGTGGGAAGGAGGTGAAATAATTTTTCCAGTGAATGCATGTGGAAGGCTTGAGAAACATCTTTCCCCTGGGTTGTGGAACGTGTTTGTGCTTTGTGAGAGAGAGATGTTGTTTGTCTGTTTGTAAAATGGAAACCAAATACCTACTGTTCTTAGACTGTTGCCTTTTGGGGTATTGCACAGACTTCTGGATGAGAGCTTTCCAGTAAGCTGGCATTAAGATGTTTTGTGTCCTTAATAAGACCTGTGCTGTTTCATTACACATCTTTCCCATAGTTTCTTTACTCTTTTTTTCTTTTTCCTTTTTTTTCAAATAAGAAAACTGCTCTGATTTCTGAATATTGTCTAGATCCTCTCACCACAAAAATAAATGTGTTGGATGAAAGCTATGCCTCCAGCTCCATAAGGCGGTCACTTCTTTCACCCCCTTACCCGGATCATAGGAAGAGAGGAACAGAAGTGGTTTTGGCACTGTGAGATTCGACATACGCGTTTTTGTCTATTTGGCAAACAAATGCATTTTTGTTTCTGCAATGCGGGGCCAGAGCTAGCAGCTATCTGTGCTTCCCCGCTGGCAAGGACCTCCTTACCTGTATGGAATTGGTGTCTTTGCTGTTTTGGATAGCCCCAAATAAAGAGTGGGGTAGGACAGACGCACATGCTTAGTAGAGTCGTACCATCCTGTAGAAACTGTTTTGGGATGTGCTGCTCATTCCCCACATCTTTTTGTCTGAGGGTAATTAGCAGGTGGCATACGTATTTTTAGGAAAAACCAGTTCATAGCATATGCATTAATCATACGCGTGACTCTAGTATTTCTCTAGCTTAGTATTATGTCCAGTTGACTGGTTACTACTTATGCTTTGAGAATTTTGAATGAGGTTAGGGTGTCTGTCATTTTTTGCGTATACTACATATTGCACTGTCCTACAGGTTAGGCAGGCATACAGACCCCTGCTGTGTCCCCACAGCGAAGGCAAGCTCAGCTGGCATGGGGGGTGTGCGAGGAGGGGGTGAAGGTGAAAAAAAATAGCGAGACTGATCCTAATAATCTAGGAGTTACACTGTGTTTGCTGTCCCCCAGAGGTGACATTGCCTCCTCCTTCGCAGTCCACCGCACTCACTTGTGTTCCAAAAGTTGCATAGAAAATGCATTCTGTAAGCCAAAATGCTCCAGCAAGTCAATGCAAACGTGAAGTGCATCGAAACAGCTGGGACAGTGCAGTCATTCTGCACAATAGCCTTCTTGGGCCTTAGCTACACTTCATCTGGCTGCCATCTTCATAACCCTTATTCCCCTCGCTTCTCGGGAGGCACCTTGAGTCCACCACAAACTGCACGGGGTCTGGCTGACCCTCAGAAGCTATTACAGCTAATAGGATGCTATCTACGTTATGCTGTGTCGACATAGTTATCAACGTGGTAGGGACAGAGTGTTTGACATTTGGTTTACTGAAAATGTCTCCTGGGGGTTTTCTCCACGTTGAGCGGGTTATTACATCGCTTGCATGTTTTACTGATTCTTTGGTGGCAGCAGTGTGGCAGCAGCTGCTGCTGCTTATTGTCTGACTGCGGGAACTTATTTCTTACATTAAGTTTATTAGTCACTTTGGAGGCCCGCCATACTTTCTGCTAATGGCATTTTAGTCACTTATCTCCTGATGTTGGTTTAGCCGTCTAGGGTGAGACTGTGGGTTGATGTGTTCGCACACCAGCAAGTGTGCCTGAGGGTCATAGCGTGCGGGCAGCTGTATCCTGCCACGATCAGGCTTTCAGGCAAACCCTGGACGTGGAGGAGGCAATGCCGGAACCAGGCTGGGCAGGTTCTGTTCCTAGTTCTGCCAGTGGCTTCGTGGGTGACCTTGAGCAGGTCGCTCTGTGTTTCCGTGACTCCGATTCTCCTTCTGTGCAACAGAGGTCTGCTGTTGAGAAGTGCCTGTAAAAAGCAGTGGTTTAGTAATAGTAGTAGTATTTCATTTTTTAACATACACAAGAAAGCTTTTGTTTCAGACAAGAGACAGATACGCAAGTAGAAGCCTAAGCTTTCCTCACTGCTGCCAGAATGCCAGCTGGTTACCTGTAACACAAAGAATATGCCTTACGTTTGCCTATTGCAGGCATTATAGTCTTCCTTAGGCAGTTTCTCTGCAGCTTCTTCCCCACGGGATGTGCTTTGGCTCTGTTTAGTCCTAATGTTGAGCTTAAATTTCCCTCTGCTGTAATTTAGACCCGTTATTTCTTGTCCTGTTCAATGTGAGCTTTATGAACAGATCCTTGCTGCTTCTTTGCAGCAGCCCTTCCACATTTGGGTGGGTATTCTTGCTTTGCACGCTGAAAACCGGGGCATTATTTAGCTTAGCTTCCTTCCTTTCCTCCCTAGTTTACACCATTTGTGTTTGCATCCCGGCATAAAACATATTCAAAATATTGGAGTGGCCAGTGTCTGAAATTAGGCCTCTGTAGGTGTTTTCGCTCAGCTCTCCTAAAATGAAGATATCTGCTGCTATCGGTCTTTTTTTTTTTGAAAATCAGAGCCACTCTCTTGGGGTCACTTCACATCCCTGCTTAAAGCGCCCCTGCACTTGCCATGGGCCATAATACTTCTCTAGCAGCACACAGCCGTACCGGACAAGGCAAGAAGAATTCAACATCTGCTTTAGACTGCAGGTGAATTAAAAAGGAAGGACCAGGTCTGTACGCATGAGAGGGAAGCAATAATGATAACAGCTTTCCTTTGTGACAGAAGAAGGTAATTTTATTGTTTGCAAGTGTGAATTACTAGATTGAAAATGCAAGTATACACTTCACAGTGATGTGATCATGCTCTGAGCCTTTTTTTTTTCTGGTCAGGCACTTAAAAGGCATGACCCCAAAATAAATACACATCTGAACAATGGGGCGCTCTGTGTTGGTAGTGTGAGAAATTTTAAAGTGTCAGTGAGCTGTATATAAAAAGGGTTGTAGAAACAGAGCTGGCAGAACATTCCCTTTAAGTTCTACTAGTGGCTACAGTGGCAGGTAGATACCTGGAAAATGACAGTAAATAAATATGTAGGTGCAGATGTGGACGGGCAGAAGCTTAGGGGGATGGCACAGAGTGCGGGGGGTGCGAGTGGTGGAGTAGTTCTGGTTCTGCTTTGGCTGTGCCAAGTCCTCCCTCCCGGCAACAAACTGCACAAGCCCTGTGTCGCTGAGGCAAAAGCAGAGGGGAGTTGTCCGTGACTGTGGTCTTGCTTTGCTTGCTGTAAGTGCTTTTGAAGGCACAAGTCTGTGTAGCACTGCAATACCGTGCCGTTTTCTGTATATTTAATTAGCTAATGCAGCCTAGGAATACCTTGGGGGTCTGATTCTCCTGTACATTTAAGCCATTTTGCACTATTCTGGCTGTGCAGAGAGACCATAAAATAGTGCAAGGAACTGCTAGCGCTCACCTGAAGGTCCCTGTGCAGTGGTGTCGTGGCTGTGGGATGCCCAGGACCTGTGGGGATCTGACACGTCAAGTTTATCACTTGCTTCTGCCACTGGCTGGGGAAACAAAGAGCAAATGCGTGTGAAGAGAAACAGCCTGAGCGCTGCATGGAGAAGGGGATGAACAGTCACTCCAGAATTGTTTTACAGCCTGAATTTGAGAAAAGAAACGTACAAGTATAATAACTGCCTTTGTCAACATCACTGCCACTTTCTTTCTTATTCTTGCTGCTGGTTGGAATAATAGCATTCGTGCAGGCAATTAATCTTCCACTTGCCAGTTTTTCATGCACCCTACGCATGGGCATGGCTGTTTAACCTTGTGCTCACATATATTATGTTGTAATGTGTGGGACACTGGTGGCCTCGAGCCCTCCTTTATTTTAACCCCTCTTTGCTAGTATTTTAAAACATACACTGGAAAGTGATTTTTATGGTTATCTTGGGGTATATGTTTATAGACTTAAATACATTTATAGTACTCTTGGGCCAAGGTTTTTCTAATCGGTCCAAGGTCATTGCTATGTAAATGGGCCTGCCCTAAGACAAGGAACTTGAAGGCGAAAGCTTGAATGTAATTGCGCAGTGGTGGCTGTCCAGAGGAGAGCGTAGCTGTCTCGGGCAGGAGTTACCCAGGATTAGAACAGGGTTGATCTCTCTCTGTTTGTGATTTTGCCTGGGTTTGAGAGTGGCATCATGTGGGTGCCACTTACTGGACTTCCCTTGAAATACGCTTTTCCCATCATCACGACCTAGGGTACTTCGCTGATCCCACTGCTCCAGTATCTAGCGTGGTATAATCTTTAATTTAACTATCCTTCAGTACCACCATGTGCAACAGAGGTGGGAAGATGCCAGTCATCTTTTCTGTTTTACACTTTGGGAAATCAG